TATAATTCAATGGTTGTTGAAGTACTTTAAGATTGTGCAAGCATCGCCTTTCTTTATTTCCAGAACATGTTCATCACTCTGCAAAGCCTTTATCCTTTAAGCAGTCACTTCCTATCCCCTTCCCCTAATCCTTAGCAACCACTAATCTATTTTTTTGTTTTTATAAATATGCAATCTCTGAAAATTTCATGTAAACAATGCTGTCAAGATTTGCAAAGTGTATATCTTAAATGTGGCCTGGAACATATAGATGTAGGATTAATATGTGCTAACCTGAAAGGGATTCACTGGAAGACAGGTCCTGTGCTGAGCACTTCAGACACTCACACTTATTTAATCCTAATAACTGCCACATCAGGAGGATTATCCCCATGGTTAATTGAAGAAACTTGCCAGAAGGTTCCTAAACCCTTTAGAGCTACACGTTTTCCATGTAGGAAGTGAGGTATTGCACACTACTTTTATTTCATTGTTTAAATTAACATACAAAGTAATGGGCTTCACTATGGCATTTTCATCCATATACTGTTATACTTCACTCATGTTCACCCTCCCTATTGCCCATTACCATCTCCTAGTCTTCCTTCTGCTTCCTTCTTGCCTTTAGGTGATGTGGGAGTCCCCTCTGTATGCTGTGAATGATGGGGAACTTCAGCCAATCACATTCCGTTTAGGGTGTGTCCCCCTGGGGCCACACAAAACAAATAAAAACATCCAGGTGCACTTGCCTCTTCCTCTTTGCCCTCTGCATTCCTGGATAGCTGGAACCCTGATTTGTAAGTTTTCTTTCTTCTGTTTATTAAAGCTGAATATTATTTTAAGTTGGTCTGGTTAATTACAATATTCCGATCCACCATGCCTATCATGTGAATACCATTGGTGAATAAAGAAACTGCCTTGGCCTGTTGATAGGGCAGAATTTAGGTAGATGGGGAAAACTAAACTGAATGCTGGGAGGAAGGAGGCAGAGTAAGGGAGTAAATTAAGATGTAAGAGTTAGCCAATAAAAAGCTAGAGCTAATGGGTCAAGCAGTGATTTAAATAATATAGTATCTGTGTGATTATTTGGGGGCTGAGCGTCGTCCTTCAACATTTAGGTCATATATGTATATGTATATGTATATATGTCATATCTGAGAAAAAAAGTTATCTTTTCCCCATTACCTTCTCTTTTTCTTGCCACATTACTACTCCCCTACCTCTCCCCAACACTCTTGGTTTATCTTCATGTCGCATAAATGTAAATATATGCATGCATACATATATAGACTCAGCATCTGAGAGAAAACCTCTGGGTATTTGTCTTTCTGAGTTATTGTGCTTAACATGATGACCTCGAGTTCTACCCACTTTCCAGCAAGAAATATATTTTTTTCTTGCTCAAAGATGAATAAAACTCCATTATGGGGTGGGTAAGATGGTTCAGTGGGTAGAAGTACCTGCCATCAAGCCTGTTGACCTGAGTTTGATCTCTTTGACCTACATGATGGGAAAAGAGGATCAACTAAAGGAAGCTGTCCTCTGACCACCACATGTGCCCCGTGGCATGTATGTGCCCCCAATAATAATTATTATTATGTAATAAAATTGTTTTAAATTATTTCAAAACTCCATTGTGTAAACGTACCACATATTCATTAGCCATTTGTCAGTTGATGGGCATCTAGACTGGTTCCATATCATGGCTATTGGGAACAGTATAGTAACAAAGATGGTATGCAGGTATCTGTGTAGTCTGTTAATTTAAGGGCTTTTGGTTACATACACAAGCATGGTAGAGCTAAATCATATGTGAGTTCTATTTGCAGATTTTGAGGAGTCTCATACTGCTGTCCACAATGGGTGCACCTGTGCACAGTCTCATCAATGGTGACTAAGGCCCTCCCACACCATCATCAGCACCATTCTAACCTCAAGCAATTTTAATTTGCATTTCCCTGAAGACTAAGGATGTCAAATACTTCCTCAAATATTTCTTAGCCATTTGTATTTCTTTCTTTCAGAGCTGTCTATTTACTGGTTGGATGGTCCTTACTGTCCTGGAACTAGCTCTGTAGACCAGACTGGCCTCGAACTCACAAGATCTGCCTGCCTCTGCCTCCTGAGTGCTGGGATTAAAGGCTGCGCCACCATGGCCCAGCTCCATTGTTTTTCAAGACTGCAACACATCATTATGTATGTCAAAAGGCAGAGCAGGTCACAGTGTCAACCTTCCTGGTTTGGCTAATGAATGTGTGTGACGCACTAAGAGTCTGGCTCCTGGAAGGCCTTCCTAAGGAACAGCCCCTGTTAAGACTCTTACATACACAGCTGAGGTCCTTCTCCCTGGTGCTCAGAAGAACAACTTCCACACTCTGGATACCTTCAGATGACAAACCTGTCCTCAGAAGATACTTCAGAAGAAGTAAGATACATATTGAAGTTAACTCCCCTTTGTCTTTAGAGAGTGACTTTGAGAGGATTGGGTTTTTCCGAGATAGAATTTCTCTCTGTAATAGCCCTGGCTGTCCTGGAACTCACTCTGTAGACCATGCTAACCTTGAACCCAGAGACCTGCCTCCCTCTGCCTCCCTAGTCCTGGAAATGAAGGTGTGTGAATGAGTTCTTAACCATCCTTTCAACTTTAGCTAAAACCTGAGTCTACTTCCTAGAACCTGGAGGAACTTACACCTTATTCCCAGATGTGTTTCTGAGACTTCTGTATGCCTGCAGAGGTTGCTGAGGCACAATCCATTACTGAGGACTAGGAACAAGAATAAAGGAACACTGGCAGAGCTCTGCAGACCCCAATACAGAAAAATTGGGTCCCTACCTTCAAAAGAAAACTACATCTGGCTCAGTGTTCTTAGATCAAGAAAATATCACAGGGTGGCACTTTTATCTGTGTTGAACCCTGGTTATTTCTTCTAATATGTGACCACAGTCTCCTTACTTGGAGCAAGGATAATAGCTAACCTTAACAATTATTGTGGCGATTCAAAACAAGATAATGCTAGGTGTGGTGGCATACAAGTATCAGCCCAGGTCTCAGGAAGCAGAGGCAGGAGGATCAGAAGTTCAAGGACAACATTGGATACATAGCAAATTTGAGGCTACCAAATTGGGTTATATGAGACCCCATTTAAAAAAAATAAAAGGAAGGAAAGAAGGAAGATATATTTTATACTTGGCACACAGAAAGCACCCAGGAAATGGTAGCTGATCAATGAAGAACACATTCCTGGGTCAAGGACACCTTTGTGATTGTTAGTCATTATATGGACTGATTGAACAGGTTTAGAGAACTCATTTACAGGAAGCCACTGAAGGTTAGCAGTGGGGCAGCCTCCAGGTCTAAATTATACCCAGTGGTTTAAGATGGCTACTGTGGAGTCACAGAAGCCTGGGAGCAAACCCTAGCTGCCAATTAATCACTTATGACATCAGCTCTACCCGCTTCCTCAGTCTCTCTGAACTCAAAGCTTGGCCATTTACAAGTCTACTTTCAAAACCCCCATGCCATAAGATGCAATTATCTAGCATGCACAGGGTTTCATGTTCCAATTCCAGTAAAGGAAAATAAAAGCTCATTTGTAGTCTTAGGAATCTCCTACAGTGTTTGGAACACAGCTCTCAAGGATAAGGTGGCCTATCAGATGGATACTTTTCTCTACAAAAGCTCATTTGTTAATAAAAGTTTAACCCCAAAGAGAAACTGAAAAAAAATCAGCAGCTCTTTATCCTTGAGATTGCTTCCTTCTCTCCACAGCAGTCTATCCTGTAGATCTGCTGTCTGAGCTAATTTTCCCCCTCTACCAAGTTGTCGTTGCAGAGACTGAAGACTTGGCTTTCTTTACCCTCTGCATCATCAGTTCCTAGAACCCAGACTGGCCATACCTTTGTAGCTCGCTAAAAGGTTCTTGTAGCAATTCCAGCAGGGTTGTCCTTAACTATTTCTGTATCTTTTGTATAACTTCCTGGGCTAGGTGTTCTCCTCTTTACCAGTGTTCCTTATATGTGACATATATCTTACTAGAAGGCAGTGCTAGGACCAAGTTTTGTCTTCCTAAGCTTGTGTTTTTCATGGATAAATTTGCCTTCATTTTCAGAAAGCTCAAAGCACAATTCTTGCTCAGTTACAATTACACGGTTTTCTTGAAGCTGTTTTGGAGTTTTGTTTTGCTTTGTTTTTTTCCGTGATGTGGAGACGGGACATAAATAAATGTAAGAAGACTCTGCTGGTACTTGTTTACGATACTATTTCCAAACACAGACTGTATTTATCATAAGAATATGCTACTCAGACTTGAATGTTTCTGCAAATTACTCTAAATAAAACACTGAATCTGATTCAGGTCAGGATCAGGGTGCAAGATATCGCATTTCTGAGAAAATCCCAGGTGATGCCCAGGTGGCTGGGCCTGGTGCACAAATTGTGTTGCACAAGGTGGAAGAAACTTGTTTCTTTGATTCAGCACAATTTCTGTGTCCATCTCCTCCAAAAAATATGGCCAAAGTCTCTAGAAGTGTAGGGACAAACACCAATAGCATGTAGAGAACTAATTAATATAAGACCCACAAGTTGCCCCCTCCCGCCCCATTTCCACTTTGTCCCCCCTCTAAGCCCACCGAGATCTAGCCAGGAAGTCACATCTCCAGATGTTTTTGCTGCAGGTGGCCTCATAGCCAATTTTCAAAATGACTGCTTTTTCCAAGGTTTTCCCAAGATACACTCCTGGGAACAGCTGTTGTCACCAATGGTGGCATCTGCTTGGCCAGCATTTTAACATTCTAGTGTTTTAAAATCAGTAAGAAGGGTCCCATCACTCGTCTTCGACTATATAATTCACAGTGCGCTCAGTCCCTGAAGCCTCAGACCCTCACCCCTAGGCCAAGAATGGCCAAATCGCCCAAAGCCCCCACTTCAGGCCGGTCAGATGGGGGCAGGGCCGCTCATGCGCAGAGCGACCCCCAGGCCACAGGGCGGGGTCCCTGGTTGCCCCAACCCCCTTCCACCTTACCTCTCTGGACCAGGGTGGCCAAGGAGAAAACGAAGCAAATGAGGAAAGCAGTACGCCAGGCCACCATGGCTGGGAGCAGGCGCAGGGGCCTCAAGGAGCACGGTTAGCGCAGGAGGGCCCGAGGGGGCGGGGATGGGAGGAGCTGGGGAGGAGGAGCCCGTCACAACCGCAGGGCCCCGCCCAAAGCTGGCACCCGTCGCTGCGGTCAGGAAGGACAGAGGAGAGGCGCGCCTTAATACCCGTGCTGGGGGGGGGGGGACTCCTCAGGGCCCAAGGCAGGAGACTGGGCGACACTGCCGTCTCGGGGACTCCGCCGCAGTCTGGAGGCGGGGCATAGGGCGAGGGCGGGGCTCGCAGACACTCGTTCTGTTGCTCGATCTGGATTGGGTGGCTTGCCTACTCACTGCTGCAGACCCCTTCCCACCCTATCGTCGCTAGGGGAATGTCAGAAGAGGCCTGCAAGCCCCTGTAGGGCGCCACCAGAGGCCAGGGTGTGGGAAGCAGCAGTGGAGACGGTGCTCAGGAAAGGCCACTCCGAGGCCACTACACACCGTGGCACAGAGCTGGGGTGCAGCCAGCCAGCGACCTTGGACCGCACCTTCCTCCTCTAGTGCAGGTCCCCCAGCTGAGAGGTTTCTCCGACGCCTTGGCCTCATTCGCTGCCGCCTGCTGAAAGCTGCAGCAAATTCCCTGCCTCAAACTAAAGAACTGGGCTATTTGGGTAGCTGCTGGGACCAGCAGAGACACCACAGCAGGCAATAAGGAGGGTGGGCTCAGTCCAGAGCCAAAGCACTGAGGAATAGTTGCTGAGACTTGGGTTAGAGACAGGGTTACTACTACAAAAGTTCACAGCCGCTCAATCGATCAGAAAAAAAATACGCCCCATGACTAACAAACGCGCTTCAGTCTTTTCCCATGAATCTCGGCAAATAGAGTCCACCTCCCTGGCGGCGGGAACGCAGATCCCCTCACTAGTGCCACAACCAAAAGCCTACTGCAGCGGGGCCTGCTGCTGCAGAGTAGCAAAAGCTCCCAAGAGGAGCACGGCTACAACCAGCTCTCAGGACAAAGAAATCAAGGCTGTTCACTGTGGCAGCATGGAGCCTGTCCACGCCTCTGTCTTTGGTCACTTCTAATGATGGATCCTACTGCCATTCCCAGTGTTCCTGGTCACAAACAACACATATGCACACACATGAATATCACACATACACACACACACCCCGTCTCTCAGCTCTTTCTCCCTCTCCCTTTCTCTATTTTTATTCTATCCATTGCTCTAAATATGGGACTGGGAAACAAACACACAAAGTGCTAGGAGTAGACCTTCCCATGGGCAAAGCGGGCAGGAACTGGAGCTGAAGAGCAGAGATAACTGATTTCTTCTGAGGGAGTTTTGAGACAGGGTTTCTCTGTGTAACAGTCCTGGCTGTCCTGGAACTCACTCTGTAAACTAGGCTGGCCTCAAACTCACAGACATGCGCCTACCTCTGCCTCCTGAGTGTTGGGATTACATGTGCCACCACCACTCAGAGGTCTTAATTTCTTGTAACAGCCTTATGTGTGACCTCAATAATCAAGGAAGGAAAATGAGTGAATGGGAGCACCTTGACTTTGAGAAAGTAACCAGGGGATCCTGCAGTCAAAGGGGCCAGGAGAATACTGGCAGGCCTCCTGCAGAGTGGCCAAGAGCAGAGGCTTTCAGAACCCAGGAGCAGAGCCTGTGAAACAAAGGAAGTGGTGAGATGGAGTGTGGTGAGGACTGGATGAAACTGAGCTGTCATGTGGTGGCAACAGCAGATAATGAGGCGGGACCGAAAATGTAGGCTTCTCTGCAACACAAGATCATCTAGATGCAGGAGCAAGAACCAAGAGAAAAGAATGCTGTTATAATATAGCACATGACACCAAATAAACAACCTTCTCAATTGAAATGCCTGAATAAGGCTATGAGATAACTCTCCCTTTGTAAGATGATATATCTGGGGCCCAGTGTGTCTCTCAGTCTCTTATAAGTGGAGTTAATGTGAGTCTGAGAGAACTGGTGAATCTTTCCGTTGGCAAGAAGTGCCCACCTAGAACTGGGTGAGGGTGAGAGATTCAGTCCAATCATTGTAACCCTATTGACTTGCAACTGAACATGAAGCTGGTTTACATACAGGAAGTCCAACACTTAGAAGCTATGACCCTTGCTTACCCTGTCCGCTATACACAACATCCTTATTACCAGTGCATCTGAATTCTGGAACCAATGCCTGACCAAGTATTTTGCCAACACACTACTCCTTTCTCCTCACCTGTGCACCTAGATCTTCCCTGAACTTCTCATGTCCCCGATATTGAAAAAAGCATTTAGGCCTTCAAGCTCCACTCTTCAAATGCCAACCTTTTTCACAAGCAAGAAAATGTCCACAAAATGTTCATTATCCACAAGAGCCAGCAGGCCATCCTTGGAGCATAGCAGTTGTCCTGAGTGATCTGAGAACACTACTAGTGACCCCAGTGGCTTCCCAGTGGGAGAAATATGTGAACAGAAAAACCATGATGTCTTGGGGGCCCTGGGGTTCAGCAGCTTGTCAAGACTATGAAGTTCTGTTGCTACCCAAATAAACATCTACAAAACCCCTCTCACAAAATATCCACCCTCAATTCTATATACCAGCCACTTTTTCAAGAAAGCCTCTGTAATGGGAAAAAGTAAAAGCTGTGCAGTTCCAAGGGCCAGTGGACCATGAGGGATGGTGGGTCCCAGGCGGGGAGTTGCAGGCAGTCCTCGGCCCTTGGCAGGTGAGAGACCTCGGCGGTTCAGCCAGTGCCAAGAGGAGCCATGACAGGTGAGACACAGAGACGGATAGGCACGCCATGCACAGAAACTGGCTATTTATTTAGTGGGTTATGGAAGGGAAAGGAAAGGGGAGAAGGGGGAAGAAAAGAAAGAGGCACAGAGAGAGAGGGAGGGGGAAGAGACAGAGGGAGAGAGGGAGAGAGAGAGAGCAGAAGTTACCTCTTTAGGAGAGAGGAATAGAAAGAAAGGAGCTCAGGCTGGAAGCAGAAGGATGAGCCTCTTGCCTCTGCAGACAGGGAGGGAGTGGGCAGGGCTTGTCTCTTAAAGGGACAGGACAGACCATTACAGCCTCCTTCACCCATTGATATGGGATTCCCCTCTCTATGCTATGAATATGTTTTATTACCATTGGTTAATGAAGAAGCTACTTTGGCCTGTGGCAGGGCAGAATAGAGCTAGGTGGAAAAATGGAACTGAATGCAGGGCGAAAGAAGGCAGAGTCAGGGAGATGCCATGTAGCTGCTGAAAGGAGAAAGACCTCAAAACCTTACCAGTAGGCCACATCCTCATGGTGATACATAGATTAATAGAAATGGATTAATTTAAGTTGTAAGAGCTAGCTAGCAATATGCCTGAGCCATCAACCAAACAGTGTTGTAATATAGTTTCTGTGTGATTATTCACATCTGGGTGGCCGGGAAACTAAAGTGCAGTCTCTATTTACAGCCCGTGGCCAAAAACAGCCCTAATAGGTGGTATCCACCAAGAAGACCCTGACACTGCTGAAGATATCCATCAGGAGAGCACTGCTGCCCACGTTGAAATTGTTCTTTCCTGCTGGTTGTGGTGCTTCATCCTTTCAATTCCAGCACTCAGGAGACTGAGGCAGGAGAATTGCCACAATATCAAAGCCAGCTGGGGCTATACAGAAAACCTTCTAGCAAAGTAAAGCAAGACAAGCAACACACCAACAAAACCCTTTCCTTCCCTGATGTTTCACCTCTGCCACCAGTAACACATAGGAACTGACAGAAAGAAAGCAAAGATGAAGGCCTACCCTTTATCTCTGCAATACAAAGGGACCCAGCCAGTGTTCAAGGCTTTAGTTGCCTCCCTTAGCCTTAGGCCCTAATGCCTGTACGGCTCTTCCTGGACAGACACCCCCCCCCCCCCACACACACACACAGCTTAGGAACAAAGATCTGTCCATCGACCTAACTCCCCACTGAGTTCCCTCCTCCACAACTAACCTCACACTCAATGTTCTGGCCAGTTCTGTGCAGAGAAGGGAAAAGAAGCCCAGAGTACTGACCTTTATTCTGAAATTGTGAACTTTGTTGCTGTACAAAAGTCCTTTATTTCATGGGACATAGTAGTGATTTGTTAAAAGTGCTCGTTGCACAAAATTAAATATTCGAAAGCCTACTACTCTCCAAATTGAAAAAGAAATAGAAAACAAAAACTAACAGGCAAAATTGACACATATTTGAGCCTTTAGTCCACGAGGACCCAGCTACAAGGCAGCTGGCAGAGTGTACCTCATAAGTGAACAGAAACTATGGAAATGGAGCCTGCCCCTCTCCCTATGTTTGACTTGCAAGCAAATTATCCTCCAAGTCTCCAAAACACTTTTCATCTCTCCTCTTCTCATATGGCAAGGACTGGCCAGGCCTTGAATGCCATGACAATTGCAAAGGTTTTGATCTGAGAACAAAGGGACGCCATTGAAGGGTGGTAAGGAATCTGCAGCATGACATTTCCTATGGTTCATGGAAGATTGACCAGCATCACATAGGAGGAAAAGGTAGGAATTCTCCATGGCCACATAATGGGATTGAAGGAGTTGTCCGAGCCTGGTTACAGGGCAAGGGAAATGAGGAAATTCAAGGACACAGGGAATTGAGCCAGGAGATGGAGGCAATTAGAGCGAAGGGCCTCTGTAGAGAGTGGAACAACCTCACCTAGAGAGGATTGTTCTGTAGAATTGATTAAAGGCAAAGTGAGAGTACACCCAGCCAAGAAGAAATAGTTCCCAGAGAAAGGCTGAGAATGAAGTAAGGACCAGAGATGAAAAGGAACACAAGGAACAGGAGTTGCCAGAATTACCTCATACAAGGCTTGGGAACCAGGTGACGTTGGCACTCTCCTAAAGCACAGAAAGCCTGAAAATGGTTTAGAATGTATGAGATACTACTGCAAAGGGGGCAAGATCAGATTACTGGTGTTTTATAAATCAGTTTCTACAAGGAACCTCAGAACCCTACTGTATAGAAGCTAGAATTTGCCTTAGAAACCCG